TGGCTCGATATCTACATAATTATAATTTTCAAGACAATTATAAGAAGCCTAACCTTATAATTCGATACTAATAACTTGAACTAATTTAATGAATCTAAAATTCAATTTTCCTTTAGGGGTGTACCGATGCACTATAGATGCATCGACGCACAAATTAGGTTCGAAATTCCCATGCATCGATGCACCCCTTAATGCATAGATGCACCTTCAATTTTGTCTTAGTGCATCAATGCCCATCTATAATGCATCGATGCACATGTTAATAATAAGCTGGTTTTACCCAAAAATTCCATAACTTTTCATTAAATTTCCTCATATAAAACTCCTTTCATACTACTAAACTCAATTACAACCATTTTAACTAACTATTATCATTCCAACACTTTAGAATTTCCCATATCTCCTTCAAATTCTTAAAACTAAGAATCATACCATAATTTTCATATAATCCAAACTCATTTCTAACACTTATAAATTATTATTCACACATATGACAAGTCAAATTCAACTTCTAAATCCATTTATACATCCTTATTTAAAATTTCACTAATCCACTTTCTATCTTTAATCTTTCATAACTTACAAATATTTGAGTTTCTATGATCTTTTTCATCTTCATCATATTTCCTAAAGCTTCATGAATCAAACTCATACTTTAATTTGAAGGATTAACCAAAAGAAATCAAACTCACCTTATCTTAGCTTTGGTTTCACGTTAAAGAAGATGAAGTTGGGAAAAATGTCTGAAAACTTAATTTCCTAACATATGCTCCACATGGGTATTATAATACCCACTATCAAATTTTTAATTATTATCCTGGTTTAAAGACCCATTTACCCTTTTGATTCTCCTTCATTTGCTAATTAATCCTACATCAACATCTTTCAATTAAATCCTTCACTTTTCAATTATTTAATCTGGTCATTGAATTTTAAAATTTCACACTTTGGTCATTAAACCGGTATTGAGGATGTTACACAATCCTTTTACACTTGGGGTGAAATTTTAAGATCCCCTTAAGAACAGTCAAGTTCAAGAGACTAGATAACACGTTCATGGAAAGAACAAGAGATAGGGGGAAAGAAGATCATCTTGCCTAACTCCTCGAGCTCCCATAAAATAACCAACTAGACTGCCATTAATTACAATCGAATAACTAGGCTTAGTAAAACAAGCACAAATTCAGCCAATAAATTTTTCATGAAGGCCAAGAGCAGTGAGTACAATAACTAGGAAGTCCCAGTTAAGCGAATCAAACACCTTTTGGAAATCCACCTTCATGGCACATCTAGGGGATATGTTCTTTCTATTATAGACCCTAACAACCTCCTGAGCAAGGAGGGTGTTATCCACAATACTCCTTCCTTTAACAAAGGCAGTTTGGTTCTTTAAAACCATACTAGGAAACACAATAGACAAACGCCTAACAAAAATCCTGGCAATTGTCTTATAAATCACTGTACATCAGGATATAGGCCTAAAGTCCTTGACTAAGCTAGGGTTAGAAACTTTTGGGACAAGGACTACAGCTGTGGCATTAAAAGTAAGGAGAATAGAGGATATGTCAAAGCAATACCTGATAGCAGCAACAAAGTCCCCACCCACAATGGACCAAGCTTTCTTGTAGAAGTAAGGGTTATAGCCATCAGGCCCGGAGACTTATCATTGCCTTGCCCCCAAATGGCTTCTTTAATTTCAGCATCGGACACATCTCTGTATTAATCATCATCAGCTCCCACAAGGAGAGAATAATTGAGGAGATCCTTAATATTTGAAACATTACTGCCCTGGACATTCCCATATGCAAAACCCAACTGATTATGAAAGAACTTAGTCACCTCATTGGATATTCCATCAAAAGAATCCAATCTAGTACCAGATTTGTCATAGAGGACTCTAATTTTGTTACTCTTCCTTCTGCTAGCCACCAATGAATGGAAGAATTTAGTCATTGATTTCCCTCCTTAATCCAACTAGCTTTAGCTTTTTGCTTGTAAAAAAGCAACTCAACCTCTTCAAGGTATTTGAGCTATCTTTTAGCTTGGAGTTCATTGTCAATGTTGCTGCTAGCATAACCCCGGTTAAGATTAACAAGATGAATACTCAACAGTTCATCCCTTTTCTGCTTCACCTTATTCGAAATATCATTGAAATGGACTCTATTGAAAGCCTTGAGAGAACATTTCAACTGTTTCAGTTTCTGGAACAAAATCTGAGCTGGGTTTCCATCAATTGGTTACTGCCAGGATTCCCGTACAGTGGTCAAAAACTCAGGTACAAATCCCAAAAATTAAAAAACTTGAAAGGTTTAGTCCTAGTAGCAGGGGTTGCCTTGTGAAGGCAAACAAATGCAGGGCAGTGGTCCGAGTCACCAGGGGCCTGAAACTCCACAGCAGAGTCAGGAAAAGCATCAATCCATATCGAATTTACCAGAAAACGATCAAGTTTGCGGGCTAAATAAGCATCATGATGCTTATTCAATTATATGAATAAAGGACCATTGTAGGGATGGTCAAATATCCCCAAATTCTCCACACAATTATAAAAATCAGAAATGTCAGCCAGGGTTGAAGAGCTAACATTATCCGATCTCTCCTCAGTATTCAGGATGACATTAAAGTCAGCACCTATCAGCTATGACAGATCCCCCATGATGCAACCCAAAGAAATGAGCTGATTCCATAATTGTCTTCTGTCATTTCCATCATTCAAGCCATAAACAGCAGTTAAGAAAAAAGTGTTGCCCCCAAATGAACCTCTAACAGAAACACTTTGATCAAAAATAAAAACAACAGAGCAATTCAGACTCCTATGCCAAAGCACCCAAATTCGACCGTTGACTGCGTGACTATAGTTACAGCAAGCATCCCAGTCACTAAAACTATGTTTTAAAATAGCCACAGAGTTTTCCACCTTAACTCTAGTTTCCAACAGACAGAGAATGTCAATTTGGCAGTTAGTAGCCCATCTCGTCACTTTTCTTTGCTTGCGAGGATTATTAAATCCTCGAACATTCCAAAAGCATATTAACATGAGGGAATGAGGGAATGAGAGGCACCACCTCTATCCTCCAGTTTCTTTACTTTTTCAACGTGCTCCTTCTTCTTTAACTTTAAGTCCTGCACCGGTTTAGCCACACAAAACGATGTTGCTTGATGTTTCTTACCCGAGTCCTCAACAGGTTGCAAATTTATAGGATCAATAGAGCTGAGAACCTTAAATTTGTTCTTGGAACCTCCCATGGCAGTTTTTCCTGGCATACCTCTCCCACGCTTAATAGGTGGATTACTTCCAGAAGGTTCATCTTTAATAGTTTGCTTAGTATCAGTTTTAGCTTCTTCTCCAGTAACAGTTCGAGCATTGTCTATACAGGTTTCTACAACTGCTTCAGAATTACATAGAGTAATCTGCTCAGTCTGAATGTTACCTCAATAACTACTCCAGCATTTTGCCCCACAACCCCAACTACACTATTATTTACTGTATCATCATGTTTTGTCTCCTATACAGTAGATTTGACCCTCCATTCTTGTTTCTTCCCTAGAGGACAGAATTTCACAGAGTGTCCAAATCTCCTACACTCAATACAAGATACAGGTCTCCAAGGCACAACTACCTTAATTTGGGAAATAGATTCATCACACAGCGGTATATCAATATAATATGGAATCTTGGAATTTACAGTTATTTCTATACAAACCCTAGAAAACACAAGTCTCTCACTGGAAGTTGTAATAGAGTCCATGTGTAAAGGCTTACCGATTGCACTTACGATGTAACTGAGTCATCTCTTCGAGAATAACTTCATAGGAACATAGAAAAGTTGAATCCATATTGGCATGCGATCCGATTCGAAGTGTAACTACTTCAAATTTGGCTCCCGCTACCTGAGGAAGAGCGGTTTGTGCTAGTCATGCCAGTGACCATTCTCTAAAACCTAGTCCCTGGCAGATGAACCAGTAAAAGAAAAAACAAATAAGTTTGATCCAACCATGCTCACCTTCATCGGCACAGCCTTATTCCACATCAGATCGATTATCTTTTGCAATAATCCAAAATTAGGGGTTGAGCCAATAAATTACCCAACTAGAGCAAACCTCCATTCCAGAATCCCCTCCTCAAATATGTGCTTCAGAGGTTTCACAACAAGCGAGCCCTCGATCTCCGTTGGAGGAAAAAATTCTAAATCTTGTTCATTACCCGCCGCGAACAATTTCCTCCAATCCGTAGTAGATCCAGCAGACATCGCCAATCAAAGTCCCCAAAAAAACGTAAGCAGAAGCAAGAGAGAGTCAATCAGATCGAAGAATCAAGAAAGAAATGATGGCTTATCTTCAATCGTTGTTAGTCCTGCTAACATGCACCGAGAGAGAAGGCTAAACGTACAACATCCAATTTTATTTTTATGCCTAAAATATTATCTTAAAGAAATAGATGGTAATGGTGGAATTGAGGAAAAGAAATAGACGGTAACAAAATCTAATTTGAAACAATACCAACGGTGAAAGCTAGCGTATAGGGGCATTGAAAAATTTGATTAACGATTAATTTTAGTTCTATATTATTATATTATTAACTAATTGTTTTCATTGTAAGAAAATATCATTTTAAAGAAAAATATTAAAACTAAAATATTTTAAAAAATAGAGATAAAAATAATTATACAATCAAACCTTGAAACTAATTATAGCAAAATTCAATATCAAAGGATGAGCGACTCGAAAAAGCTGAGCCAACCTGAGTGGACCTTGAGCCGGCTTCAATGGGATGAAGACATGAAGCAATGCATAACGTCTACTAACCTATTATTTCTAAAGAAAAATTAAAACTAAAATATTTTAAAAAATAGAGATAAAATATTATACAATCAAACCTTGAAATTTCATTGTAAGAAAATCATTTTAAAGAAAAATTTAAAACTAAAATTTTAAAAAATAGAGATAAAATAATTATACAATCAAACCTTGAAACTAATTATAGCAAAATTCAATATCAAAGGATGAGCGACTCGAAAAAGCTGAGCCAACCTGAGTGGACCTTGAGCCGGCTTCAATGGGATGAAGACATGAAGCAATGCATAACGTCTACTAACCTAATTATTTCTTTTCAGGAAAAAGCAACCTACTTTTCTCGTTTAATTCACCTCCATAGTTCTCTCTTTCCTCCCTGGCCCTGCCCTATAAAACCCCCTCCTCCAGAACTCGATGAATGCAGCTAGCTGAGAATCATTAGCAAGCATTTCTTTCCTCATCGCTCAATCTCTCTTGTCTCTTGTTTTCCCTCTTTTTTTATTCTTCCTTTGTTATATTTTGCACGTTTCCTACTGCAACCACCCACACAACTAGACCAGCCCAGCACGTTTCAATCCGTTGCTGCGCCCTCACTGAGCCTGATGTCAGACCACTCAAAATGTCCATAGATGATCAACCCCTCAAGACTTGGGGCCATCTCCTCAACCCTATTGACTACGACACTACACCCTTCATTTTCACCTCTAAAGCCGTTAGATTTGGCAACAGATGGAAGGAGTACCAAGGAATACAAAACTGGGAAGGTCTGCTCGATCCACTAGACGAAAATTTGCGAGGTGAAATTCTTCGCTACGGTAGCTTTGTTGAAGCTGCATATAGGTCATTTAACTTCGACTCCTCCTCCCCAGCATACGGAGCCTGCCGCTATCCCAAAAGCACATTGCTAGACCGTTCGGGCCTACATCAAACCGGTTATCGTCTAACCAGACATTTACGTGCCACGTCAGGAATACAGTTGCCCAGTTGGGCTGAAATGGCACCAAGTTGGGTGGCAACCAAGTCTAGCTGGATTGGTTACGTGGCAGTCTGTCAAGACAAAGAAGAAATTGCCAGGCTCGGCAGAAGAGATGTGGTGATTGCTTTGAGAGGCACTGCCACTGGCCTTGAATGGCTTGAAAATATTCGCGCTACTCTCTCCCCTCTCCCCAACGCTCACTCCAAACCTAGACATGAGGACTCCGAACCCATGGTCGAAACCGGGTTTCTCAGCCTCTACACTTCAGGCACCGACGAGGTACCTAGTCTGCAAGAAATGGTCCGTGAAGAGATGGCACGGGTGCTCCAAGCTTACGGTGATGAGCCTATGAGTTTAACCATCACAGGACACAGTCTTGGAGCGGCTCTGGCTACGCTCACCGCTTATGACATAAAAACCACCTTTAAACGTGCTCCAATGGTGACCGTCATGTCATTCGGAGGTCCACGCGTCGGCAACCGGAGCTTCCGTTCTCAGCTCGAGAAACAAGGGACAAAAGTGTTGAGAATAGTGAACTCTGATGATCTTATAACCAAAGTACCTGGGTTCGTACTAGAGGAAGACGCTGAGGTGTCAAAAGATAGAAACGTATACGTGGCAGGTTTGCCAAACTGGGTACATAAACGAGTCGAGGACACGCAGTGGGTGTATGCAGAGGTGGGGAGAGAGCTCAGGCTCCGCAGCAGAAGCTGCCCCTTCCTTAAAAATCTTAATGTTGCCACGTGTCACGACCTCAAGACATACCTCCATTTAGTCAATTATTCATGAGCTACAGTCTCCAACAACCATAACGACAGAGAGAAAATTCGCGGTGGGGGGGAAATTCCGACTAAAAAACTCTCCCGTACACAAGCCCTTTCCAACAGAAAAAGCAGAGTATAAATTGTGAATAGCACCATTCGAATTCTTTTGTAAAAATATATCAAAGGACAATTTTCCACGATATTCTCTTAAATTTTCAATTTATTTGTTAATTTATCTAATATAAATAAGGTTTAGAAAATATGAGAAATACCGGTATTCCTAAAAGGGTAAATGTTTCTTTTTATTCGTAAGGACGTGTCGTGCAATTTCAAGTGGCAACAATACCCTTGATACCGACCAAAATTTTGAGGCGCCGACCGGGTTAGAAATAAAACATTGAAGAACCACATGCTAATACATGCCACTTCGCTACAAAATCACCAACCTAAATCAAGCTACCGTCCATACCAAACACTGTGTCGGTTTTCTAAAGTTACCAAAACACAATCTAGTGCCGTCATAGGTGCCACCGTGGGCTCCTCCGTTTAGTTTAAAAGTCAAGTTTCAGATGCCAGAAGTCTCGGAGTTGGTGGGGTTTTGTCCAAGACAATGCAGCGAGTTTCTCTGGTAATCAACATGTCAACGTTAAACATCTTTCATCCAGCCTTTCCTAGAGGAATGGAGCCGCTTAACAAAAAGCCCAATGGATTTTTTTCTCTCTATATTTCTCCTCGTCTCATCTGTCAATAGTTTAAGATAAATTTCTATTTTAATGTTTTTCACAATATCTTTTTTCGACAATTATACAAGTACCGTAATAAACATGACAACTTTTTGATATGTTTCTTGTCAAGGCAATATATAATATATAATATACGGTGGAGAGCCAGCTTTGTTATAAAAGTATTTATATTTTAGTTGTAGTGTGATATTTGATTTCTTATAATATCTTTTGAAAGTGTTATTACAATCAAATATCAAATTGGAATTGACTTAAAAGAGTTACACGGTGATATTCTTTAAAAAAATAATTTTTATAGAATTTAAATACTTTTTATTTGATATAAATTTCATATTCCTGAAATTTTATAATTTCGCGCACACTTATTTCTTATATTTTCTTAAAAGTTGACATTGATAATATAAAATCTTATAAATAACATTTTTAACATGATATTATCTTTAATATTATCATGGTTTTAATTTTCTATTCCTTTTGCCCAATCATCCTTATATCAATGGAAAAAATCATTAATAAACTTAAAGAAAACGAGCATAAATATATAAAAATTAAAATAATAATAACAAACTAAAAAGATTACAAGAGATTTCAAATAACACTCTAATAATCTTTAAAACTTTCGAGATATATAGATCTTTATTAACAAAGCTCCAACAAAGAAAATCTTTATTATTGAAGTCCAGGAGAGTAAGATGGACATCAAAAGATCTTAAAGGAGTTAAGACCTTCGAAGCTTGTAATTGAGTACAAGTGAGGAAATGACCCTCTAGTAGTAACAAGAAACCAGATCTGTTGTGGTTTTCTGTGATATTGGTGACGAACTAAAGGAAAATATCAACAATAAAGGCATAAAGAGGAAAAATCATCAAACTACGGCAGCCAACAAAGACGTCAGAAAGCCACACCAACATAATATATCAACCAAAAGACCATTTTTCTTCGCCATCATAAGACGTCAAAATAGAATGAAAAAAAACAACGAAAAAGAATCACCTTTGAATCATCCTATAACTTTTGTTGGCAAAGGGAGAACACTGACCCTGTCAGGAATAGTTTTGTAATTTTAGATAAAATAAGCACAAGAATTAGAGAAAGAGAGATAAGCAGAAGGAAGAATAGGAGGGAAAAAGTATTTTGATTATCAATTTGCAATGCCCATTCTGTTACACTCCTTTTCCTTATAAAGCTAAACAATTAACTCATCCGACGTCCTTGGCTCTTTCCTAACACGTGTTCCCTTGCATAGCTGTAGTGGTTATGATTGTCGACTTGGCTGCTCTCTCTTGATCCCTTGTTCATAACAACACCATCCCCTCGAAAATGAACCTTGTCCTCAAGGTTCTTAGCAGTAATTATTCTTCGGAACTCCTCCATAGACATCCAAGCACTTGTCTCAATGCACTACAAACTTTCTGTGCTCAATGCTCTTACTTCATTTTGTAGGCGAAATGTTGGACATGAGGACTTTTGTGGCATTAACGTTCCACTTCGGATGCATTTCAAAGTCTATGATCTTCATTTTCAGTTCTACAATCTCAGTCTCATCACATACCTCCAGTACCAACGTCATAAATTGTGTCCAAATTTCTCTGTATTCGATTTTAAACTTTAACTGTTCCGTTTGTTCGGACAAAATTTCTACCTTCACTGCTATAAGGTTCTGTTTTTCCTCTATGAAAGGGGTGACACATATAGTTTCTATGGTGTACCTTACACTTTGAAAAAGTTGTCACCATAGACGAAAAATACATGTGTACCTGATTTTATTTCAGTTATTTCACACGGTTGAAATCTATACAACTTTTTGAAGAAAGTTGCATCCAGATCCTTCGTGGTCGCTATTGTTTGATCCAGGCAATTGACATGGAAGCCAAAAAAATACATTCTAGTAGATTTAACTTTTCTCGTCTTGGCACTATCCTTTCGCAATGCAAGGCTTAATCCACCATTATCTTCTAGATCAAAATACAATAACTTGAACTTGCTTTTATCAACTGATTGTACTTGGTAAACAAACCCATCTCTTGTTTTTTCTTCTTCTCCTGTTACTGAAATAGAGTAGATGGGAGCACATTGTTTTTTAACCTTCTTAGAAATAGGTTGTCCCAGCAGAAGTGGGCGAATAGTGACTGCATCATTAAGTGCCTCCTCTAAAATAGTTGCATATACAATGGTTAACTGGCACAAATTTACTAAAAAGTGCAGCAAACATAGTGTTCACAACCCCCAAACTTGAAAGATCTAGCTCCAATTCCTGGTTATCAGCTTCAACAGCCTCAAAATCAACGGTGTCATACTATTATCTTTTAGTAGATAAGATATTATAAGAAAATATGACCTCGTTGAACATATCTGTTGCAACAAGATCATTTTCATTCGGGTCAATTTAGAGCCATTTTCTGGTAGGTGCTTTTAATTTCCTCAACATTAGTACCAACATACAAATAAGGTTCATTTGTTCTCATCTTCACATGTTCAACATGAACTAGTTCATAAATGACAGCACCAACCATTCTTTCAACAACAACTAATGATCCTAACACCATGTAATTATGAATATGAAATGTTGTCTCAAAAAGCCCTTTTTGAACCATGTCTCTCTTAGTGTTTAGAGATACATCTGTCACTACAACTCTCATAATTTCATTGAATAAAAATATTTCTTTATCCATTAGCAACAACCTAAATCCATAAGGGTATGGTACGCCCATAAACTCATTAAAAATTATCAACATTCGTTTCCCGTGTCGGTTAGTGCAAGTATGAACAGTCCAAAAAAAACTTATTTATGTCTTGCCTGGGGCAATTCCATCTTTAAAACTTATAACATGTGAAACATCACTCAACTTGTCAATTTTACAATTATAATCTTCTTCAACAGTTAAAAGATATGTCAATTTAAATAAAAGATTGATATTATGTTCCTCACGATGCCTCTGTCAAGTATTTAAAAATTGTTCAACATGAAAATGATTATCAAATGCAGTCATCATACCTAATCCAACAGTCATGTTTAACAATTCTTCACCCTTCATCTTCTCACCACGGATTGCTGGTTTAGAGAGCTCGTAATCGTTGGATTGATGAATTGGAGAATTAAGTCTCTCATTATTCAGAATCGGTTGATCGAAAGTTTTAACGTCGTTTGATGTTGACATTTTATCAAACACCTGGTGGAGATTTGCGCTTGAATAGTCTTACTTAATAATCATTCTCCTCAATTCATCAATTTTAGGTTGTGCCTTAGACGTCAATCGCAACTGTGATGATATAATTGCTAGTTGACATTTCACATCTTGAAGTGTCCATTGGATCTTTTTGTTCACTTGTTTTTCTTTTCGGTATGCTCTTGCAAAGAACTCAACAACTGTTCGTGGCGAGCGACGGTCTGCTGCAGAATTTTAATGGCCTCTGTATCATTCACAATAGCTTAGTCTCTCAACGAAAGTACCAATGTTAGAAACAACTCTGTAATTTCAGATAAAAGAAGCAAAATAAGTAGAGAAAGAAAGATAAGAAGGAAGAATAAGAGGGAAGAAGTATTTTGATCAACAATTTGCAATGTCCATTATGTTGCACCTCTTTTCCTTGTAAAGCTAAACAACCAACTCAATGCACGAATTCATCCAACGTACTTGGCTCTTTCTTGACACGTGTTACCTTGCACAGCTATAGTGATTATGATTGTTGACTTGGTTGCTCTCTCTTGTTTATAACAGACCCACAACACAATGATCCTTGAGCGGGATTCAGAAGATGCTAAGAGACGAAATCTCTCAATGACCAGACCCAAAGTCCTCTTTGTATGACAAAAATGATAAGAAGACATCTTCCAAATCAAAATGACAAGGGGAGTTGAAAGTGAAATTAGTGGTCGAAAGAGATTAAGCGACGTCTGACGATGTTAAAGTAGTTGAAAAGATATCTCGAATTTATAAAATAAAAAAATCGAGAGAAAAAAGAAGTTGATAAAAAAATAAAATAAAAATGCTTGTGTTATGAATTAGTAAGCAGAAAAATACATATAATATGACATATATAAGAGATGAGATTTAACGTAATTTGATATTATCTCTCTGTACGAATGAAAATAATAATAATTTATTATAAATGTAAAGATCATGAATGATACAAATAAATGTATTTTAAAATTCGATATCTATACCAAAATCTGGAGTATCACAAATCACTTTCTCAATATTTATACAATATAAATCTAAAAAACTAGAGAGATTATAGAATGATTACAGCTCTCCAAAAATAATTCTCTTGCAATTTTAGA